CATAGGTTGTCAGGTTGCAAGAGACYTCTGGAAGTCATCTTGTTCAGTTTCTTGCTCTCAGCAGGATTAGTTATGAGGTTAAATCAGTTGCTCAGGCACTAGATGCTCATTAAAGTCTTGCTCATTAAAGTCACATCCAAGGATGGTGATTATGCAACCTCTCTGGTTGTATAACACAGGTGTGACTATTGCCTGGACTAGACTGTGTGCCTCCGAGCGCACTCGCCACTACACGGCACATACTGCCAGAGAGGYAAAGCTGGAGCTCAGGTGTTGAGCCAGGATTTAATTTAATTTAATTGACATCACTCCCGTGACTGAGGAGTTATGGGAGACAATATCAAAAACTTTGATGAAGTCAAGGTAGATAACAACCACTGCTCTCCCCTTATCAGTCCAGCCAGCCATTTCATCAGAGAAAGCTATCAGATTGATTAAGCCTGATTTCCTCTTGAAGAATCCATAAATGATAATTACTCTTGATTACCTTCTTATCTTTCACACACTTTGAAATTCTATCCACTATTAGCTGTTCCATCAGCCACGATTAGTTCAACCATCAAGGGGCATTCCACCAGAATTCCTTGCAAGAGACTTTTATTCTTTTTCTCTTTTTTTATTTTTATTTTTCTTGTTCCATTTGATGGCTGTAGCAGTAAGATTACTTCAAATCCAGCATAGCTTGTACTGAAGGAAAGGTGGAGAGGATTGAAGTGAGAAGGGAAAGGGATTAAATGACTTTGAGCCGAGGCAAGAAGTTGCTTAATCAAGCCAGGCATGAAACAAGAGAACTAGAAGCCCTTTTAATATTTTACAGTCAGAGGCTTTTCAAGATTCCCACTGAATTCAGACTGCTACCTTGTCACTGTCGAGTCACAGTTCTCTGTTGCATTTATCAAGAGCCAGTGATAGAAGTATTATAATGACTGATTCTGTTGGACCACAGGCACATCACATCTAACATGGAAAGGATCAAAGACCTCAGGAGAATTGACCTGAGTGAGAATCTGCAGCTTTTTTGGAGAGGCCTGTGATGACTGACTGTCAAGAAAGACATAATTGAAGAAGCAAGCTAAGAAACACACAGGAAAACCCCGTATACTAAAACTCAATGCTCATTTCAAGCTACATGCAGACATTAGGCAATCAAAAAAAATTGCATGGCATACATTGCCTGTATTTGTAGAACAGGTATGTTTTGTGCAAGCACCTCTTTTGAAAGAAAGGATTACAAAACTGATGGGTTTTTATGCATATGATGCAGGTAGTGTTCAAGTCAGGCACTGGTTCAAGAGTGTGTACTGTTTATGTCCCATACATCTCAGTGACTATTTTTAGTGACTGATCGTGCAGACACTGAACAAGTAACTAGAATGTATGAACATCATTTCATTTCATATGAAATGAACACCCTATTAGTTGTCGTGATAAGGCATTGTCAGCAGTGACACTAATAGAATTCTCTCTTTATTTGGCCAACAGAATTTCAGAGGCCTGAGAATGAGAAGCCCCATGGAAAAAGCATATTCTTTAATCAACCTATTATCATACTGAACAAGGTTTGCAAAGTCCTGGACACTGTTCCATTACTTTAGAGAAAAAAAAAGAAGTATCATAATAAGAAAAATGGCAGACTAGAATGCAATCACTAATATACCTGAAAAAAACTTCTGATTCAGGTTTCATTGTCATCTAAATTATTTGCAGATTGCATCTGGTCATCTGAGGAAAACTAAGCAAATTGTGGTTAAACCTTCGCTTATTTAAACCTTGGCCTAGTATCCAAAAATGAGTTTAATATTTGTATGCTGATACCAAAGGGGCATATATTTGTACACTGTGTTTGTATTAATTTAGATTTCTCACTGAAATAGGAGCACCAAACTAGCACAGGCATCCATACCCTTGCAGCCCCAACCAGAGTGTTGAGCTGTGGTCCATGCAAGTAACAGATAGAGCAGCCACAACTCAGGGTGTCTCTTTCCAGGCCCTAATCCAGAGCAAGGTGGGGGGAATAATTTTCTTTTAGAGAAAAGCCTGCTTTGTGTCTTTATGTTTTACATTTATTCAGCTGTATAGATTAATTTTTTTTTCTCCACAAATCTGTAAACTGGTGCACACGCCTGAGAGCAGAAATTGGCGCAGTAACATGAAGCATTATAGAGAATGCTTTAAATTATTTTATGGAAGAAGACACAGCTAAACACAGAGAAATACTACTCCTTCTACACATAGCTGTTTTCCAACTTCAGTTACATCTAACAGACACAAAAGGCTGCACTAATCCAAAGCAAGAAATTAGAGCCAACACATTGTGGTCTGATTTCCTCACCTTAGCCAAGAGGTTGTGGAGGACTCCATGAAGACAAGAAAAGAAACACTGACCATGATGGACATTGATCTAATGCAGTGCAATTTCATCGCACATGTGAGATCTGTTGCTTTGCTCAGAAAGAAAGTGAGTACTTCTGTTCAAGCAGCTCGAACATTAATTCAGTCATAACCCAACTCATGCACATCAGTCACAGTGGATAGGAAGGAACCTTTTCTGTAATGCTTCCCATTTCACAATAGCTGTAGATAGTTAGCACTTGCCTTGTCCAGCTCAGCTTCCTTCCTTTAAATCACTGCTGAATGAAATCTCTGTCCAAATATCTAACAAAGACATAACTTCAAAGCATACTCTGAAAGAGGTCTTTCTTTCTGGTTTTTTTTTTTTTTTTTTGAGCTGCTGTAGTCTTTCCTTTAAAGCATCCTTAGAACTCAATGGCATAAACAGCAAACCAGAAGCCATCTAGTAAAGAACTAAATGTTTTTACAAGACTTGACTCACCACCAGCACATTATCGTTACTATTCAGATGAAGTTACATGTCTGAACAACAACAAAAAAGCCTTCCCGGGTACAAGGGAAGCCAGCAACCAAGAGCTGCTTAAAGTAGGTGCAAGTTCATGGGAATGCTGTTTCCCCAACACTCCCAGCATTTCTGGGTTAGCTTGCAGCAAAACCAAGCTACTGCTCCCAGCTTGTCCACAGTGATCTTCTATCACACAGAATCACAGAATGGTTGAGGTTGGAAGGGACCTCTAGAGACCATCTAGTTCAACCGCCTGCTCCAGCAGGAACACCCAGAGCACGGGGCACAGGGCAGCATCCAGGTGGGGTTTGAAGCCCTCCAGAGAAGGAGACTCCACAGCCTCCCTGGGSAGCCTGTTCCAGGGCTCTGTCACCCTCACAGGAAAGAAGTTCTTCCTCACATGGAGATGGAGCTGCCTGTGTAACTTTCCTAGTTATGGTAGATGTGTTGCCCTTGACAAGGTAGCTACTGTACCTCAGGCTCCACCACAAATCAGACTTATCTTGTTGCTTTGACCCCTAGAAAGAAGCAGTGAAGTGCAGAAAAACATCTGTTCTTTTAGCAGAGCCTGCACTTTAGAGGGGGGACTCAACCTTTTGCAAACAAAGGGGTAGAGGTAGAGCAAAAAATGCTGTAAACAATTTAAGCTGCTGTTCTACTGCATAGGGTGATGTTGACAAAGCCAAATAGTACAATCAGCTCCCAGGAGAACAAAGGGTCTCTTAGATATACCTCTAGGCTACTGAATCTGAAGTCCTGAATAGCTAAAAGTGAAGTCTTGTCCACTGACATGCAGATCAGATAGTGTCAAAAGAAATCAGAAGCTGCATCCTGCAGGCAGAAAAGCAGAATGAGCAGATTCCTCTCCACCCACCTCCTGCCAGATCTAAGTGGAAGAAAAGAATATTGCAAAGGCCAACTACCACTGCAAGAATAAGGTCATGTATGATAAATACAGAAGCAACATTTTTTAGATTCTGATAGAATAAGATATAAAGAATTCCTTCCTTGTAACAGAAACAGAGCTAGGAAAGAAGCTTCAACAGCTAGTGCAACAATTCACACCACCATAACGAATAAATAAATTWAAAAAAAAAACCCAAACACACATAAAAAAGGGAAAAAGATGTACCCACACAACCACTGATAGCTCAAGGAATGCATGAAAGACTTCTATATATACAGAAGGGTGTCCTGAAGGTGTTGCAAACCTCAAAGAATGGTGACCCCCTACAACTCCCACTTTCCTGTCCTCCTGCATGCAGCTGAACACTCTCCAAGGCCCTCTCAGTGGCCCACCTGGATCCCTGAGCCTGCATCTTGTCCCTGTTGCCCCTTGTTGCATTGCCTGGCATGGCTGAGAAGGACTGAGCTATGACTGTCCTTCAGGTGGTTCAGGATGCTGTTCGATTCTCCACAGCCTTTTCCTCGTGAGACTCCCCAGATCCAGTGGGTGATGTCCCCCTACTCTCCAGCTGGTGATGGCCCATTTCTAGTTTTATGAGCTGTGGGGAGAAAGGTGTGTGTAAACTGGGCCTAGTTGTACAGTGCGTGCATCCGTCCTGGGGAGATGCCCAAGGAGAGGGCATGATGGTTTCCCCCGCCTGTTTGGTGGCTGTGTTCTTCCAAACAGTTTGGGCTTGTGGTTTGCCTAACTCATGATGACAAAGTCACTGTTCAGGACCACATGTGTGTTCAAATTCATACTGAAATACTATGAGCTAATATGTGTCTATTTTTGATATTCAGATATATTTAATGATACATATATATTGTTGTGCTATCTTCCAACTTTTCTCTTCTTGGAAATTTAACCATATCCATGAACATCAGTGTTCTTAGAATGTATATGTTTTATACGGGTTGATGAGTACTGTGTGCTCCCAGTAATCGGAATGTTATGCCAACAGGACTGTTTCACTGGAGGCAGAAGATGGTGCTAAAGCTATTTGTCACATAGAGCAAACTATTCCAGCTGCTAAATGAAGAGAGAGTTTTTAGAGGTCTTGGAGCAGCTTGTCATCTGCAGTATAATTACATATATACTATGTAGTAGCTGGAGTTAAACACCCTATTAGTTGTCATGATAAGGCATTGTCAGCAGTGACACTAATGGAATTTTCTTTTTTTTTTTGGCCGACAGATTTTCAGAGGTCTGACAATGAGAAACCCCATGAAAAAAGCATGCAGCTCTACGATATGCCCTATGAACCAGAAGGCAGCGGTGTSGAATCGGACTCTGACAGCGTGGTGAGTCAGCAGTTGAGAGAAAGCAAGTTGCCACAGGACGATGACAGGCCTGCAGATGAGTATGACCAGCCGTGGGAATGGAACAAAGTCACCATCCCAGCCCTGGCAGGTAGGATTCCCGGATCCCAACTGGCACATTTTCTCGCATGCGTGAAACATACTGGTCCTCAGAATGTCCCAAAGGAGCTATATTAAAAAGCAGCTCTTTAGCATGCATGCGATAACATTCTTCTGCTTGGAGTTGTTTCTTGGTGTTTGTCAGRAGTATTGTCTTCATCCTATTGGAGTCCCTCTCTAGATGGATTTAAGTTGTATTCAGGTGAGTGACTCAGAAYTGCTCAAGATCTCACAACATGTCACTCAAGAAAATCTCACACCTAATTGTTCACAGTCTCTGTGACTGCCTGTGCTTTGTGGTGATACAGGATGTGCTTAGCTCCTTCTTTCTTCTGGTTGCTACATTGTAGGAAATAGCTGAGAGGATTTGGCCTCAGCAGGAGGCTAACAATTTTTCCCATATTGGAATTCCCTTTCCCGAGCAAAAAACAAACAGACCCCCTGTTCCCAGAAGCTCCTGTAGAATGTTGCTCTATTATCTCCCTTTCAATGGCATGTTGTGATTAAAAGCTGTGAAAAGACAGTCCTCTTTGGATGTCAGCTTTGGATGTCAGCTTGGCAGAAGACTTGAGGAATGCAGGCAAGAACCAGAGCTCTACATAGTCAGGATTCTGGGAGTGAGGAGGTACAGAAAATATCTCTAGGTGGAGGCGTGAAAGAGTCTTGGGATCAAAGCTTAGGAATAACCAGTGTGAATTTACCCCATGCTGAATGCTGCTTGTTAGATCTCTCTGCTTTCTGTGTTGATGCAGTTGGCACACATTCATTGACTTCAGCCCTCAACATGTGCTGCTGTGATATCCTTGTTACAGTTTAGAAGAGTGAAATCTTGGCTTCCTGAGCTTGTAGATGTTTAGTGCTTCATATTTTCCTGGTTGCAGCTACAGTTCTTCAAGAATCTGTGCTGGGACTCGTCCTGTTTCACATCTGTGTCAGTGACCTGGAGAAAGGGAGGTTTGCAATCATACCAAACTAGAGGTTTCCCTTCCTCATTTGTCTCTCACAGTGAACGAAATATCTGAAACAGAAACTTTTTTTTGTTTGGCAACACTGAAATACAAGCTAAGTATTTGCAGTATGGTGCTATGGGACCAGGGCATTTCCATTGCCAGTGAGATCACTCACTGATCAAGAGTGTCTTAACATAGCAAGTTTCTCACTGAGGAATAATATAGCCACAAAAGTGATRTTATTGATTTTAAAAGCAATTGGCACAGAAAGTGATGTATGTACATGTAGAAATCTTAGACCTCACGTTATATGTATTGTGCCTGTCATATGAAATGGCTGAGATTTTTAACTGAGAAACAGAATAAACTGATTAGTTTCAGTTCTGAATTTCACACAGAATCACAGAATGGTTGAGGTTGGAAGGGACCCCTASAGATCATCCAGTCCAGGCCCCTGCTCCAGCAGGGACACCCAGAGCACAGGATACCTGGTCKCATCCAGGTGGGTTTGGGAGATCTCCAGAGCAGGAGCCTCCCCAGCCTCCCTGGGCAGCCTGTGCCAGGGCTCGGGCACCCTCACAGGAAAGAAGTTCCTCCTCACATGGAGATGGAACTGCCTGGGTTTCAGCTTACACCCGTTACCCCTTGTCCTGTCACTGGTTGMCACTGAGAAGAGCTTGGCCCCGTCCTCCCTACATTCTCCCTTTGGATATTCATACATACTGATAAGATTCCCTCTCAGTCCTCTCTTCTCCAGGCTAAAGAGACCCAGTTCACTTAGTCTTTCCTCTAAAGGTAGATGCTCTAGTTCCTTAATCATCTTTAATCATCTTACTCTACAATGGACCCTTTCTAGGAATGCCACATCCCTCTTGTCCTGGGGAGCCCAGAACTGCACMCAGTACTCCAGGTTTGGCCTCCCCAGAGCTGAGTAGAAGGGCAGGATCCCCTCACTCGACCCGCTGGCAACATCCTCCTGATGCAGTCAGGAGCCCATTGATTTTCCTTGCAACTCACTTGGTGCCTGTCAAATTTTTGGACTTCATAATTATTTTCATACCTTTATTTTCTTCCTGTTATCAGATGAATTCCAAAATAGTGTTTATTTTATTATTCATTTTGGAAAAAAAAAAAAAAAGGATTTTTTTTGTTGGTTCTGTCTTTGTCTTTAGTTTTTGTCTACATGCAGCTATGAAATAATTAGGCACAGTGCATCCAATTGTAGACTCTGCTGTGCTGTGTGCAAATTTTCTCTTTAGAGATTATTATGATATTTGAATCCCTGTTGGGTTTACATCAGCATTTGAAGCATATTTAGTTTGTCACTTTTAAAAGCTGTTTAAGTTCTATTTTGCAGTACTAGGAGGGTAAACAGTTTTCTTCCCAGGCAAATCATCTATCTGAGATTTGGTATGTAACTCCTTCCAGTTTATTATGTCCGAGATAAGTGGTTGTTTTTTAAAAATGAATTTCTTAGGATTGGCTACAAACGTAGATTCAAACTACTTTCCAGTCAGTGCTCACTGTACTTAATCTAACTGGTGGGCAGTATAAATATTTAAAACAAGGCAACAAGAGCTCTAACTCCTGCATTTGAAATAAAGAAWTGTATCCATTGCAAAAGCTCTGTCCTCCTGAAATAGCTGAAATGCTTCCAACTTTTCTGAGTGCAGTGATTCTTTAGCAGAGGTTGTTAAACCTATCATTTAAATGGTTTAAACCTCAATCCTATTTTCTTTTGTTCCACTTCATCTGAGGTGGATTTCTCTAGCAAGCATAATCTGACCAGTATGGTAATAAAGATGCTGGCAATGGGCAATTCTCACTCTACCAGTCCCAACTGCTGCTGAGGTTTTGGAGGCTGCAAATGTAAAGGTGACCTCTGCTAAAACTGATCCATCTGGATCCATCTGGCAGACATTTGTGATTTGAAGGGTAGACATGACAAGACTTGTACAGTAAATGTTTTCAGTTCATTGTGTGACAGACCTGGGAAACAAACCAAAATGTCGAGAAGCACAAGAGTTATTGTGTAGTCAGTTATTCATCTAAGTCTGAACAAATGTTCCACTACGCCATTTCAAGACTGCAGAGCAGGGACTCCATAGCTTTCCTCAGGAACATTTGCTATAAATCTTCTTACACAGCAAAAACATAGGGCTGTGCTGCCTGGGATACAGCATATTGCCTGTCCTGTAGCTGGAGTTCTTCAACAAACAGGTTTGGTATGGTTTCTTTGGAGTCTGCACAGTGGCACAAGCAGGCTGAAGTTGAGATATGTTTTTGAAGGTTTTTATGGGATGAGAACAAGTCCTGTTAGACCTCCTGTTGAGCTTGGCAAACCTGTTAGATTAGGACCAAGAACCTGGCAGAGTCACAGCAAAATGGTAATTTTCTGGTACATAGTCTTTCTGGAAGGAGAGAAGGAAACATAGGCAAGCCTATTCAAGAACAACAGGCTGATAGTGGCTCCCACTTGAGTGTAGGAATCTAGGGTAAAACATAGGGTAAAATTCTGGGCGAAAGTAATGTGAAGTCTGTAAAACCCATGTAAATCCAACTTTATAAAGTAAATGGCCCTCTGGTATGGAGGGGGCCAGATGACCCATCATGGCCACCTTGGCTTCCTTGAGGAAGAGCTGCAGGCCACAGATTTGGCCAGCCCTGCCAGTGCAGTTGCAGGTGCACGGAGATCTGTGCCTCGGGAGCTGGAAGTAGGGAAGTCATGATGGGTCATCCTCGGTGGGATGTGGCACTAGCTGCAGGGCAAGAAGGCAAGCATGGAGAAAGGGGAAGGGATGTAGCCAGTTCCACATGTTTCCACATGTTCCACCTTTTTGGAGAAATTAAACATTTAGAAGCTTCTGAAATTCAACTTTGTGCTGCTTTTGAAGAACAAACTTTTCTTCTAACCGTCACAATATTGCAAAGATATTGCAGTGTACAGTTGGATAACAGTTGTTTTGTGAACTAAATGGTTTTGGTGTCTGGAAGATGCTGCTGAGTCACTGAAGACATGAGGTTTACCAGTATTCACAGTGCTGTAGTACTGGGTATTTTTTTTCTGGATGAAATTAAGTGCTCTGTGTCTGTTTCAGTGGCAGGTACACACATGCCCTGCTTCTCCTTTCTTCAGCTACTCAACCTCCATTATCCAGTAGTTAGGTTAAATCTGAATTTCCATTAAAAATAATAATACCCAGTGTATTTCTRCCATGTAAATTCAGAGTATGTATGAATACATTTACTCCACTTAAGCAGTAATTTCTACTGATTTAATTACTTTAATTAAGAATAATCTGGAACTATCCTAAATCTTCTAAATGAAAAAAAGAGTACAAAACGCCTTATAACATATTTTTCTATCGCTGCTGCTGGAATTCATAGAAGAGTTGCTTGCTCTGTGTGTGTATTTTTGTGTGGATCTTGTAACCTTTTACTCTAGACACCTGTGACATTTGTTTTACACAATTCCTGATAGATAATCTGAAAAGCAATAATYTCTTAGGAGCTGGGAATGTTATTTCTTGATGAAGAAACAAGTCTAAAATGCAGGATCAGATTGAGAAGAAATTAACTGTTGTATGAAATCAGGAATGTATAGAATCAGGAATGTATAGAAGTGCAGTTTTTATAGGCATGAGGATGAAGGTCTCGTTAGTATGTGCTTTGTTACAATGTGGTGTTCTGAGAAATTACAGCTCCACTAATAAGCCATAAATCTTTCTTTAAAATAATAATACAGTTTTTGAGAGAAACTGACAAATGAAATTTTCTATTTTCATTGCTCTTCATACTCTTGTATTTCAAGACAAAAAGGGCTTGTGCCAGCCTTGTACAAGTAGACACAGTTTTTAAAATCATTTTTGCTTGATAGCATTTTTTATGTGGATAAATGGGGGTTTGCTATCCGTGTTTGTACCCAGATCACTGTTCAAGTGTTCTGTATAACTGAGGCAAGCTTAATTCGTGATCGTTTTAACCTGCTTGTTGTCTTAATTTTGACAGAAGAAATGACTGTGTTCACTGTGTTTGGTACTTGGAGGTATTATGACGTTTGACAGCATGATCTTACGATGCTTTTGTAGTTAAACCACTAGATTTCACATTAACRGATGCACATTTTTCCTCCTGAAAAGCATGATACTTCTGTAAATGCTACAGTGGTGCTGGGCCTTGCTAAGTTATTGCCTGTCTTGCAGCCCAGTTTAATGGAAGTGAGAAGCGTCAGGCGCCGTCTTCCTCGCACAATCAGCGCAGGCAGTTACGGGCACCCGGAGGAGGATTTAAGCCCATCAAACACGGCAGTCCAGAGTTTTGTGGCATCCTCGGAGAAAGGATAGATCCGACTATTGCACTGGAAAAACAGATGTAAGTAAGCTCTTCAGTAATTGCTCTTCACCTCTTTGCCCTTCACTTACAAGAGAAGCAGATGTCTTCCATCCTGCTGTGCAGCTCCTCTTCCTCTCTTTCCCCTATGTTAATGTTCATGGAAAATTATTATTAATTCCACAGAATTCAAGTAATCTCTGTGAGGGAATAAAATAAAGCAGGAGCCTCTTGGAGCTTACCTCAGTTAYAGTAATTTTATCTGGCCAGGCACATACAGTTTATTGCAGTTTTGTCTGTGTTATTTTCATAACTGTGGGGAAAATAGGTGTGGATAACATACATCTGAACTGTGCTTTACTGCTTCATGAATTCCATATATTTATGGTTGCATAGTATACTTCTGGTATCTTACATGTGCCTTTCATCTAACTGTAACAGTGCACTAGGGAAAGAGAGATGAGACTGTTTTCAGATCCTTAAGGAAAAAAAAAAGCTTATTTCCATTGTCAAAGTCAGAATGATAGGTAGAGGAAGCTTTGTCAGCTTTAAGCTCAAGATGTGAGGAAACTCCCAGGAATTAAGCCCTTTCCTATCTCATTTCCATCCTGACATTTGTGGCTGAGCAAAAGTGGTTCCAGAAGTTCATTTCTCTTTAGCATACTCTTTTTCCCATGCGACACCTGGCCCTTAAGCTTAAAATGGACAATAGTATCACCTACATGGTACCCTGCTTAACTCACWAACAGCAGTGAAACTTTGAGGGGTCTGCTTATTGACAGAGGATAGATGCATCAGCAACACGGGGAAAAGTGACCTCTCGTTTCAAAATCCTCACTGAAAGCACTGTATCTAAGCAATTAAAATGTTTTAGGTTTGTCTGTAAAATTTGATATTTAGATTTGAATGGTTCTAGTCTTAAAATATGTTTAAAATATCGTGGAATGTTAAGTGTCTGTTAATAAAATTCTAGCTCTCACATAGATTATTGGGTAGTTCTCTTCAAACATTTTTATTAACCTATTTAATTCATCCTTAATATGGTCATTGAATCATTATGGTTGGATAAGACCTACAAGATCATCAAGTTCAAATGTAAACCCATTACCACTACTTCTACTCTACCATGTCTACTAAACCCTAAGTGCCTCATCTACACATTTCTTGAACATTACCAGGGATGGTGACTGCACCACTTCCTTGGGCAGCCTGTTCCAATGCTTCACTACTCTTTCCRTGTAGAAATTTTTCCTAATACCGGAGCTGAACTTCCTCTGGTGSAACTGCAGGCCATTTCCTCTTGTTCTATCAAATAGTTACTGTGGAAAATAGACTGATCTCTACCTCAATACGACCTCCTCTCAGGTGTGTGCAGAGCAGTCAGGTCTCCCTGGAGCCGCCTCCTCTCTGCACCAAAAGCCCCCCCGGCTCCCTGGGCCGCTCCTCACAGGGCCTGAGCTCCAGGCCCTGTCCCAGCTTCCCTGCCCCCCTGTCCCAGCTTCCCTGCCCTCCTCTGGAGCCGCTCCAGCACCTCCATGGCCTCCTTGCACGGAGGGGCCCAAACTGAGCCCAGGCTTCGAGGGGCGGCCTCGGCAGCGCCGAGCAGGGGSACGAGCCCTTCCCTGCTCCTAATGGGTGTATAGTCGTCTGGTTCTTAGGGTGTTTAAGTTAAGTTCTTGATTTGCAACTAGGCATGCTCATCACTGCCTAAAGCACTACAGATGTAGCCCACTCTAAAAATTAAAGCAGATAAAACTATTCTTACTGGATTCTTTTTGGTTCTTCTTGTTATGCAGGGCTTTACATGAAATGAATGTACAGTTAACAATGTGTCACAAAACTGGAGAGCTTGAGCTTATTGTACTGGAAATTAGTCGCACTCATGCGAGCTGATCACATTTTAATAAGACCTCTTCACAGCATCACCAAGCCAGTTCCTCATTTTCTCTGTTTACAAATATGGGCTCTGATTTAGTAGAGAGCAGTATCTAGAGGGAAGGAAATAAGCAAATTACCAAGTAAATTAGTAGAGTATAACTGGGAACTTTCCCAAAACAATCTGAAATACCAAAGTGTGGTAATATATCAACAAGTTGATTGTAATTAAGTTACTAATTTTAGGAACTTAGTAATTCATGTTAGACATGGGGAAATTGAATGAAATTGTTCTGGTTCCTCAAAGTAACAGTGAAAAAAAGAAATACTCTGCATTGTTTCCTGCATTTTCGTGAAAGTGAACCCCTCCCAGCCTTACATACAAGATCTGATGAYTTCCTGTTTTATTCTGACCAGATCAGAGACTAAAGATTCATGGTATATAATTCCATAATTAATGCAATTGCAGGTCCTTAATTAGTGCAGTCGCCCTGTCTTCAGTGGAGCTGTAGCCAACTGATAGCTCAAATCTGATCATTGACAAAATMAAGGACATGAGGAGGAATGTCCAGAAGACACAGATCAGGATGCTTTCGATTAATCCTAGGAGGAATTCCTGATAAAGGATAAAGGAATGTGATTACATTTGTATTTTGCTTCTAGATTTGCATTGTGTGCCTATATTTCTCCAAGATATCTCAGAAGATGTAAACATTTTAAAGTTCYTATTTCTAATGCTTTTCCCTGACCTGATTCCCTACTCGATGAAGGTAATCTTGACATTTCAGTATTGACTGCTATCTACAAATGCTGACATTTAAAGAATAGGTATGTTCAGAATGAACACTTGCAATACTGTTGAAACAGCAAAATGGTCAAGAATTTTCATGGTTACCTGTGTAGCTGGAGCATAAAAATCTGTCCATCTTCATTGGCAGGTGATGCTCAAGTAAATGACCTTCAGAAAGCTCCCATTTACTGTCAGCTATAGCCAGAACTTCTGTGGTTTGTTTTTTAAATCAGATGTTCTCTGTCGAGTGTTCTCTTTATACTTTGTTGTTCTTCTCCCAGTGCTGTTTTTAAAAGCCAGTTTTGTTTCTTGAGAACAATTTGGTGTTCTTTGTCCATGAGCTTGAGTTCCACTGGGGAACACCAGGCCCAAAGAACAGATGAAATGCTTCCATATGAATCCTRGTTTTCAGACAATTTCCTATTTTTTGCTGGACTTTGTTTTATGTTGATTTCATTTGCCACTTTCTCCGTTCCTCAAAGGAATGATTTATAGCRTTAGGAATAATTTTCCCGATTTCATTTTCTGATCAACTCTTATGAATCTATCAATCTTTCTCTTTAAATTGCTTCATGAGAAATATTCTTCAGGAGTAAATAGCTGGGAGAAGAGTGAAGACAGTCCAAGAACAACCAGTTTTGAGGAACTTTCATTGCTGTTTATGGTGTGATGAAGCTGTCACCATATCCCTTCCTGATCTGTCTTGAATATGCAGTAGTTTAATCCTTATGTTATCCATCTCAAATGGAGATTCTGGTTGCAACCAGAGAAGGCACATGAAGTACCTGGAGTACTGTATGTAGCCTGGAGTTCTGTGTGCAGTTCTGGGCTCCCCAGTATAAAAAGGATGTCGAGCTCCTAGAGAGGGACCAGCAGAGAGCTRCAAAGATGATTAAGGGACTGGGACATCTCTCGTATGAGGAGAGACTGCGTGAGTTGGGCCTGTTCAACTTGGAGAAGAGAAGGCTGAGAGGTGATCTTATTAACTTGTATAAATACATGAAGGGAGATTGTAGGGAAGAGGGGGCCAAGCTCTCCTCAGTGGTGGCCAGCGACAGGACAAGGGGTAATGGGTGCAAGCTGAAACACAGGAGGTTCCATCTCCAGGTGAGGAAGAACTTCTTTCCTGTGAGAGTGACAGAGCAGTGGAACAGGCTGCCCAGGGAGGTTGTGGAGTCTCCTTCTCTGGAGGCCTTCAAAACCCACCTGGAGGCCGCCCTGTACYACATGCTCTGGGTGTCCCTGCCGGAGCAGGAAGGTTGGACTAGATGATCTCTAGAGGTCCCTTCCAACCTTTAAGATTCTGTGATTCTGTGATGATGCATTTTTAATTTGATCACTGACTTTTGTTTAGCGCATTTGCTAGCTTGAACAATGGAGCTGGTGTTGACCAAGTGTAGTTAATAACATAATCTCTGTGAAATCATTCTCTCAGGTGTTTCTTCACTTAGCTTTCAGGTAGAGCAGCAACCTTCTTGGAAGATGTTAGCAGGAAACAAATTTAAAACATATGTAAGGAAACTGTTTTGCATGAGGCCTCTCACAGTACGTGGACTGACAGGCAGAGCACAGTTCTGATGCACCCCAGGTAGCCAGAGTAACATCATCCTGTGCTTTGAAGGCAGCTGGCAACTGCCAGAAGGAGGAGATTTCCTTCAGAGATTTTGTGCAGTGCAGGTTGAATATGTGGTTGGGAAAATTCTGGTAAGGGTATGCTGCCTTTCAAAGTGTTGGTTTCATAATGTAAGATTTTAATTTTTGATACAGTGAAGCATTTGCTGAAGAGATTCTTATCTTGCCATGCTTAGTTTAATAAAGGACCCACCTTTTATTTTTTCTTCTCCTTTCTTCACAGCCCACAGAAAAGCTTTCAAAATTTCCCTTTTCAAAGATTCCCACTCACAGTTTGCTAAAAACAGCCTAGAGTACTACCAGCCCTGCTGAGATGTGTCTTTTTCTATAAATTTTCATACAGAGGAAACAGGCACCCTTCTTTATTGTTTTTCTCCTTTTTTCTTCTTTTTTGCACTTTTTTTTCGTATTTCTCAGAAGTCATTTTGCTTGCCTTTAGTTGAAATACTGATGTAGTATTGGGACAAAATAGTGTACTCCGATCTCATGCTTGCAAACTAGAGATTATAGTGTGCTGCTCTTGATAAGAGTTTGTTACATAAATATTTATGTCAATTAGTGGAAAGGAACTGCAAGCTATCTCAAGCTTAAAACTAACTTCAGATATAGCAAGCAGTCTGCTTTTTATCCTTAAATGTTCTTTAAATAATCATTTTCTCGTACCTTAAAAAAACTAATTGGAGAAAGTATCAGTTGGGATATGTATGTCTTAATCTCTCTGCTTTTTCCTAGATGGTATCATGGAGCAATCAGTCGGACAGATGCAGAAAACCTGTTACGTTTATGTAAGGAGTGTAGCTACCTGGTAAGAAATAGTCAAACAAGCAAGCATGACTATTCTCTTTCACTGAAGTAAGTATCTTTAAACACATAAAACACATAAATGTAATTTATAAACCAGAATTTTCATGGTGTTAGAGGAGAGAATGAGTCTGTTGTTCAGCTCAGTAAAGCACAGAGAGGTTGTGAGACTGTTGGCCTGGATAATATGTAGTGACAGTCTTTGATTTGGGAATTGATGAGACTGTTAGTCTTTGGTGCTTACTTAACAAAATGAATTTGGAATTTTCTGTATATCTGACAAGAAATGCCACTATTGCTTCTGCTTTATTTCAGATTTGGCAACTTTATAGTGTGCAGTTTTATTATCTTTGTAAAATGCTCTTTGGTCRTTGAAGGAAAGGAGGTTTTATGTGRTTTACTTTGGTGGAAGTGAGCAGCACTTCAATTGGTGGAAGAGAAAGACCTTCAAAATTAGAAAGTGAATCTTGTTCCAGTATTGTAGTGCTGATCTTACTTGCGTCATTTACCTCAGGCTGATCATTAAAMAGGTCAGCTTCAACATATGCTCTCTATCATTTTCCTTAGAGGAATTTTCCAGGTTTTCTATGCAGGAGAACAAGTTTCTTTATGTTGCTAGTGGGTATACAGGTATAAAGAAGATTGTTTTCCCACTTTTGTATTTCCAGGTTGTGGTCTGATGTTTAAAATGATGATTATACTTTCAAAAACAGCTCTAAGCCTGCACATGCAAAGAAACATTGCACAGTTTGAGTTTCACTAGCAATAAAAGGCCTCCTCTTTTCTGGCTTAGTCCAGTGGTTTAGATATTAGATTTCAGGTTGATTTTATATCCTCACTTTAGGCTGAGTAGAATTCCATTACCCCATTTTATGATGTGGTCTGAAACTACCTTAAAGTTCTTAAACATTGTGATTTTTACCATATTACTGAAACACACCTTCATTAAAAAAAAAGTCAAGACAGTTCAATCTCTGTGCTTTTACTGTAGTAGTTAATTACCCTTTCTCTGCTCACCTACATCTCTATTTATTTTTATCTCTCTGAAAAAAGAAATTACATCTGGATCCTGGCTTTTGCTAGCCCTTTTGCATGATATGTTACTGAGTTTACCAACTCAGATTTCCTAGTAGTACATATTTTAAATCTTCTGCATGTTACTCTTGGGTGAAATAACTAAATTCACAACCTTTTCTCCTACAGTTACCAAAACCAAAGCTTGTGCTCTTGGTTCTGCTAATACTGWTTACCAGTGCCCTGTGATATTCATTATTCTCCCATGGCCTCTTCATGTATTCCCCTTGAGCATGGCTTTGCACTCAGAATTCATGTCCTGTTCATTAGTCAAGGTGTTCTTTTTTTYTTAAAGGGTGTTCTTTATCTCATATTTCCCAGCTGATGCTTAGTTATTACACAAAACTCACTCACACAGCCAACAGCCTGATTGTAGAACTTGGTCATCTGCAGGACTATTACCACCTGCAAAATCCTCTCAAAGTTCATGTCTGATATTGGTGCTTCATTTCTGCATGTGGATGTGGATGATTTATGAGTATACATATGAGGGTCTGAGTGGGAAAAGTAAATAAACACCAGATTAATTTAGTTTTCAGAGCTGTAGTATTCAATCTTGCTGCAAATCATGTAAATGTGAGTATGTAGACATATTCAGAGACAAATAATAAAGCAGTCTTTGTTTTGTAATAACATTATTCAATCATGTAAGCAAATAAGTCAATCATGTGAAAAAATACAAGGATCCAGATTTAATTTATGGAAAAATAAAACCCTGTAGAAATAGGTCATCCAGAAATTGATAAAATAACCGTGACAATGGACTGTTGTCCAAAAATTGAACTAGTGAGAACTGAAAMTGACCTTTCTAAATTGCATTTCCAACCCTCCTTAAGTATTTCAGGAGCCAAGGGCACTTTGGACATTAATATTTAGGAGCATTACTTTTGTCATTTAAGTTCATTGAACTAAAACTTCCAGTATTTGGTTGAGTTGATAACTGAAATCAAATATATCTTTTTTGATTACATGGCTTGATTTGAGTCTATTTTTTTATTTTTGTTGCTTAGGCAAGAACAATTCTCTCGAGTTATAGAAATGGTAAAATGCCTCATTGGTTCATCATTGGACTATGAATTGTTTTGTGGGGTGTGAGGTAAGCCCCGGTAATTCAGTGGCTGTGTTTCTCTAAGACCATTTGAGGCAAAAAATGCAGCATCTGAATGTTGTACACATGCCCCAAACACCACTCGTGTACATCATTGCCTTTTTAGGTATGTTTGTGTTTCTGGGAGACTTTCGTCCGTATATTCGAGCCATCRTTTGCTTTATCCAGTGCAGTACATTGTGATTCTGAGAAAAGGAAACAGTAGCATCCTGATTTTCAGTTGAGACCATTAATCGTTTAAATTCTGTTCTTTAGCTTCATGTGGCAGTTTTTTTTAAAGCATCAGCATTGTTCAGTTTTAGGCAGGGATTTTCTTCCTTTGTCTTTAGCCTAATCAGTATTTTCATTGGACCATTTSCCATACAGCGGAAGGCTAACTTTAAGTTTCACACAACTATGTCTAGCAGTGAGAATCCACAGAAATACTGCCAGATTTGAAAAGTTAACACTAAATGATGATAGCAATTATTTGGTTCTGTTTAAAATAATGAACATGTCTCCAAAGATGCTCTTTTCCTAAAGTTCAGTGAATTTTGAGAGCCAGGGTCATTCAGACAAGCTTTATTTGCACTGGAATTTGCTTGAGTTGCTTGTTGTCCTTGTTCTCCTCCAAAAATGGCAAGATACTGAAGGCAAAGTACACAAAGTTGCTCTATTGTCAAGTCAAAAAGCATCAGGAGGTGAAAGCATTCGTTGGAATGGTTTAAGCTGCCTTGGCCAACACCTGTCATTTCAGGTTAGCATTGTTTACACAGCTGCACCACAGTTAAGGAATGTAATTTACCTCACAGAATTTACCTCACCTTTGAGAAAGATCTCAGAGACTTGTGGGGGCAGCTGTGCTCTTTCTTGCAACCCTTCCAGCAGCCCTACGTTGCTGCTCGTTACAGCTGGAGATGCTCTTGTTTTGTGTGGTGTCTCATCTGGATTCCTTCCCTGGTTGTAGAAGTTGGGTCCACTGACACCCTCCTTGTAACTGCACAGGGCCAGGGCTAATCTGGAGATCCATATCTCTGKAGATCACGTTGTGGCCAGAACCCCCAAGCTCTGACTGCTGAAGAAATGCCTGGCTGCCACCTCCTTGCATTGTGTTTGTGAATGTGCCTAAGGAGGAGGAGAACCATCTTTCACTTCACATACCAAAGTGTGTTTCACTTGTTCAGCAGTGACTTTATGGCAGACAGTGCTCAGTGAGTTCCCTTGCTAAATTTAATAGTAAAACAGCACATCAGTTACTATTCTGTATRCTACTCTGTATTATATTTCAGTCTTAGATAACAAAGAACCACCACCTGCAGTGCTCTAACACCTAATGCAAGAGCAGTGCATGAAAGAATGTAGTCATTTTCCCTACAGAGCACTGATAAGGCTGCATTTAGATTCCACAAGTGCTTTGAGGGTATCTGCCCTCATAGTAAAAAGAAGTCAAAAATGGGAGCAAGTACAGAACAAGGCCATGAAGATGGTCTGGGGCTTGCAGTGAAGAGTTGGGAGGGTGAAGGGATTCAGCCTGTCCAGCAGAGACAAGAGAAGGAAGGGAGAGGACATCATACTGCAGCCATGCACTGCCTGAGCAGGTCAGTTATGGAGAAGAAGGTGACTGACTTTGTTCAGTGTGAGACAAGCACTAGATGCAAACAGAGGAGTTCCCGCTGGGCATTAGGAAAAGCTCCTTCCACCCAAGAGTGGTGCTGGGAAGTGGGAGATTTTCTGTCTTTGCAGGTTTTCAGAAGCCCTCAGCTGCCTGACACAGCTTTTGGGTGAGTCCGTCTTGGAGCAGAGGGTTAGACTGGACCGCCCCTGCAGTCCAGCCCCAAGCAGATGCTGCRAGACCTGACTGCTGGAGTAGTGACGACTTTTAAAAAATAACAGTAATTATTGTTAATTGCTATAATAGTAAAAAGATGGAGACTGTTGGGTTTTTTTTAGAGATGGAAAATACAAGAGCCTATACATTTTGTCTTGGGTAGAGCTTTTGTTGCTATGTATATTTGTACAATCCACAGAACTTGCAGATTTGAATGAATACATAATGAGTCTGTAGGAAAAAGGAAATCCACTGATATGAATGTGCCTCAAGCTTTCTCTCTTTTTTTGATAGGTGCTAAAGTCTCCTTGTCTCTGGAATGAATAATGGGAATTTTCAGTATAACTACTCCTGCCAAATGCACATTCATTCACTGTAATAAAGGTTTCTAGCCTGATGCCTTGAAAAGTAGCACTCTAGACTCCCCAGATCTCCTCCAGTATTTCATCCCAATTCATCTCAAAGCCCTAATATACAATTGGACTTGCATTCTTTGTTTGTTCACTGTTTTTTGAGATTGTTGTGGCCAGACGTGTGGTTTTTCCTAAATGGCAGAGGGTACTTTGCAAGCAAAGATTTTTGCCACTGAGGAAGATGCACAAATAGTCTGTGGATCAGTCCTGCTTTCCAAAACTAAAAACATTGACTTTTGGCATGTGTCAGTTTTTGGATTAATGTTTGCTTTCTGTGTCTTAGCTGATGTAAAATACTTACCATCTTCTTGGAAAGTAACATTTGTTATGTTGTATGAACATAAATACTTTTTTCAATATGATTTATAAAGAGGAAGGAGTAATTTTCATGGCTCACCAAATATGGTTTTAGCAATGTATTTTAAAACTATATCTAGTCTGCTAGCAGTTAAAACAGAGATGATGGATGTTGGTGTTTACTGACTGCAAGATTCTTTTGCTTTCACAAAAATACTCTATAATTTGGCRTTGTCCAGGCCACAAATGAAAAGTGGATGTAGGCAATGGAGCCTGGCAAAGCAGAATATTCTTCRTGCATGTTGCATGCAAGGGGGTATTTTCTTATCCTTTGCTAGCCAAGACAGACACT